CTCATGCCGTGTTTCGTGCTATATAGCTAAGGGCTATTCTCGCATGCCGCTCATGCCAATGGGACACACATCACTAAGGCTTTATCGTTTTTGAATACATTTTGGATTCAAATTCTCATGACTTCCACAGAATCGGCCTGACTGCTCTACTATGCGTAATACGGCTTACGGATGCTAGTGCGTTTGTTTTCTGTGGTTATAATGAAGTGGCATGGCCTGCCACTGAGTGTTTATTCTATCAGGCAAGGTCTACCAAGTTTTGATAGTCAGTGGCCTAAATGTAGTCTATTGAAGTAGTTACAAGTAAATAGTACAGTAAGAGTGCTAAGAAAACGAAAGAAAACATGTTTAAAACCAACTAGCAAAGGGGCCGGTAGACTTCAGAGCCATAAGACAAAAGCTACAAGGGATAAAAAACTCTAAGATAAAAGATGTCAGTATATATATAGACAATACACGGTAAACGAGTATACCTACACAGCTTTATATGGACATAGAATGTTGCGACATCCCATTAGTCATTACCGTAAGCTCTAAACTATTAAGCAGTGACCACATCCTTCGTCAGTGGCAGCACGATAAAGACTCAGCGCTTGTCTCTATAATCTCTTACTAGCATTAAACCCTAAGCGGGTGCAATACATTATGGCCGGAATAGGCTGACATTCACATGCTCCTCCCCGCGTGCAGCAGAGTAAGATGTGTCGCCCCTCCATATCCCGAAGTTATCATGCATGCTTTAACACATTAAGGTATTTGCCTTTCCTTTCCAAACAGTACTGGTTCGACACAATTGTGGAAGTCATAAGCTTTGACAGCTTATAGACGTAAAACAATATTGTCAAGCATATAGAGTTTTGTTTTCAATAGGAAGACCTTTGAGAATGAGAAGCCGACGAGCAGAATGAGAAGGGTTGGCGTTTGAAAACCATTGCCACAAATAGTGGCCCATCATTTCATCACACTATTTCAGCGCGTGAGATCTCTGTTCTGACTTTACATTTTCTTCATATTCTAGTACAATACATTCTTGTGAAGTAAACTAGAACGCTTGGCTAGCTGAACACAGATTTATGCATAAGTGATTTTCGGACATTCGATAAGCGGTTTGTACTAGTCTCTTCTTGATAAAGAACGTTTTACTCCCTATCGTTAGGCAGTGGAACATGTCCAGCTGCATAAAATGCTAAGCTCAGAAAAGTATCCATCGCAAGAAATTTGCAAGTTTTAAGAATCTTGAATTGAGGCGAATCAAATTACCTCAGTTATAAGAACATGTCAAGGATGGCCGCTACGACATACGTCTTTGGTCGTGGACCACAATTTTATGCAAAGCAGGCGGTTAGTACTCCAACAACTATTAGCCCTACATATCTAGACTGCTTCGAGCCTTAGTATTAGTCGGTCTCTATTCAAAGTGTTGCAAACAGCTTGCAACTGAATAGAGACTTCCCAAGTTCATTCCATAAGTTAACGCTCTGAGACGCACTGTCTGTGCTTTAACCAAGGACTTCGTTAGGCGTGGACGATTATGAGAGTCTGATTGTGATAAAGTCACCTCTTACCGTTGTCTGTGGTGAGACTCATGAGCAGAGAGGTCTATTTAATACACCAACACTCTATTGTATAGCCATTTAACGATGGAAGACGCCACAGCAATGCCTCACAAGGCTTACTAATGCCCGCACTCCTATACTCTCATATCTTCTTCCCATATTCAGAAAGCCAAACTTAAACTCTGCTCATATTCACCCAACCCTACACTCCGGATGTAGCATCCGGACCCCCTCTCTCAACCTTCAACCCAAAAAATCATAGCAAGCCTTGAAACTTAATGCTGACCAAGCTTGTAGGAAGAGACAAAGTTCTTCAAGTCTGATCTTTTCCTTAACTTCACGGCTGGCCATGCTTCTTTATGAGCAGGGTTGCCGGGAACGAGGATTTCTCTCTCCCTTTGCTTTCCTTTTCTTTCATCTCATAGGTGCTATAGCTCTACTGCTGACAGCGATCAGACGAGCCAATTTGCATCCCGCCTTGATCCTCTTTTATTCCTCCTCATTTCTTCTCTCGGCGCTAGCCACAACAACAAACATTATCATACAATCAAGCACAAACAAAGGAACTAAAGCGACCAAACCGAAACAACATAATCAATATGCAGGAAAAATACTCTAGTAGCATGAAAGCTAGCAGAGGAGCCCTCAAAGAAACAAATATGACCCAGTATTATCCAGCAGGAGAAAGGCCATTAGACAGATGCCTAAAGCACCAATGCATTCCCATAGTCTCACAGGTCTAAGTCCTGCCGCGATGAGCGCGCGAGAACGCCTGGCAATCTTCCTTTAGGCTACTCTTTTCAACCAGCAAACCTCTATATTCTAGGCTCAATCGCCACCTGGTCCGAGTTGCAGTCCGGCAAGAAGTGCCCAAGTGAAACTAACAAATAGAGCTATGCGGGTACCTCTGTCGTGAACACTGATCCCTTAGCGCCATCAATGCTCGACACTCCTCGCTAAGTGCCACAAGCATAAGCCCTTGGCTCGGCCAAGCCAGAGCAGTAGCCGCAAGCAGTGAGATAAGGTAACTCTGCGCGCAAATTCTATCCTATTCAAACGACCAATCTCCTCACTCATAGCCAGAAGAGTGTCAGCATGGCCCTCTCACTGTCCCGGCAAGACGTCATCCCGTTCCGCGTGCTCCGACCGCGCAGACTGGTCTAGCCCCGGCGAATAGCGAAACTATACTCTCAAGAATTTAACAGGTCATAGGAAACAACTTATAACATTACATCTTTTTTCATTTACAAGTTTCGTTAGTGCAATTTGGCACGTAAAGAAGTGCAGAACGAAAGCTCTAACATCGAGTGAACAGACTGTGTCATGTTGCATTTTGCAGCCCCGCAAAGATCGTCAGAAGGATATCAATAGGGTTATGGTCGGTCACATCATATCCTGCGTGAAAGCAATATCTCTCTCTTGTAGTAGTGGAAGAAAATCGCATCGCTCACAAGCTCTGATAGTTTAATTTAAGATCCACACATACTCTAAGTTGACCTCAATAAAAGTGAGAGCTTTGAGAGAAATTCCCATACTTTCCCTTTTGCCATAGCAATGGAGTTAGATGTTCTCTTACATTATAGTTGAGAAGAATCTACATCGGCAAAAACTCCAATGGGTCAGATAATCACTACAGTGTTCCTAAAGCAAGAAAATCTCTAACGCTGCTCCTCCCGTCCCCTTTCCTACGAAGCAGCAGGACCGTCAAACATATACACAGCGACGGACTAGCATGGGGCATTTTGGGTTGAGCCAAAGACAGCTATTCACATAATTAAAGGCGCATCACGTTGGGTTTTTTTTGGACAAAAGGGAACAAAATATTACCCTCGAGGCATACGGGTCTCCTACACTATTTAGATTCCCACATCAGCCACGGGACAAAAAGCGCAGTTTAGAGATCTACTCTCCATCAAACCACTAGTACTGATAAATAAAAAGACTCCATTCATACCATATAGCAATTAATCATAATTCGTTTTGTAGTCATACTCAATTCAATAAAACTACTATGTCACTTTTAGAATATGTTTCTTCCCTCATTTACTTATTATTAGTTCAATTAGCCATTTATTTCAAACATTCCAAACATCCTCAACCAATTAATTTAATCAATATATTAAAGGCTATTAATGATTCTCGGCTATCACCATAAATACTACTCACCTAAATCAACTCATTGCGCGCGTAAGTGAAAACCCTCTCCGAGCTCTCTTATATTTCCCAATCTCACAAAAGAGGCTACTACTAATTCTTCCTTTACTCTCTTTTTCGCTACCATGGACTGCTTTGCCTCATGCTTTAATTCACCTAATTAGCTACCAAATAAAACCCTAGGAATAACCCATCGAACTGAACACAATTCACCTTTACATATTCTGTTTAATGAATTATAGCTCTTGTCTTTCATCATAATATAAATCTCTTTAGGTCTACATTAAACCTAAAATTTAAACACTCTAAAAACCTCATTAGCCACCTCCTAACTCTATAAATAGGCGCCTATTCTCACCAAAAATCGATTCCACACTTTGGCAAAAATCCCAAGTTTCTCTAAACACTATTTCTCATCTAAATTCTAACTTTGGCATCGGAGGTTCTTCGGCCAAAGCCCCCCCCATTCATCGTGGGCGCGTGAGGCTCTTGGCCTTAACCTAAGGTGTTAATTGTTTTGTAGGTGCAAAATTGTCCAAGATCAAGGAGGAAGAAATTTGCATCCACACCCCACACTAGACATGAAAACCAAGTTCAATGCACTCCTATTACACTTTTTGAAATTTACTTTACTGTTTATAATTAAATTATCTTTTACAATCTTTTGATTGACAAAAATATTTTATAATAGACACTAGCATATGCCCCACATTTTGTGTGTAAATAAATTTGTTTTAAAATGAGAAGGAGATGCCACTTAGTATTATAGTTTATTGGTATTCCTCTTCACTTGTAAGTGAGAGGGTTCGATTCTCGCCAAATGCGAATTTGAACCACTTTATTATTAGCTCATTGTGAGGTTTAACCGACTCCTTCACCCCCTTAGTAGAGAAAAAGAGGAATGTGAATTGGATTGAGCACTTTTTTTTTTTTGGTGAAGAGATGGAGCAGTTTTCATTTTTAAATTAGAGGATGGTTAGGATTTTTTTTATTTTTGTCAAACGATAGATTAGATGTTAGATTATAGAGCTGATCGGATTCAAACTCACCCCGTGGTGCAAGGTAATACTTGTCTCCACCACTGTGGTATGCCACTTGCATGTTAGGATTATCTTTTCACCTATTTTAATTGACAAAAGGAATTTTATTAATAGACAGTTTAAATTTGAGATAAAAATGTTACTATTTCCAGACACCTGTCTTATATTAAAAAAGGGCAAAAAGAAAAGAAAATTAAACTGTCCAGCATCTGATTTCCGAAAGAGAGTTGAGAGTTGAGAAGCGGGCTACGTAGTGTTTGTGAGTGTGTGCAGAGCATAGCATATAGCTGTACTTTAAACTTGGGTTTCTCCGTCTTTTTTGGAGGTGGACAAGTGTTTCTTGATCCGACCAGCCAACTCACCCGCACCTTTCCCTTCCCCACCATCTTTTAAACGCTCTCCTCTCTCAAAAACTGAAACCCCATTTTCCATTTCCAATTTCCCATTTCCCATTTCAGCTCTCTCGCTCTCTTCCATGGCTGATCTTGCGCCAACCTCTGTTTTAAATGACTCAATTTCCAATCCCTCCTCCTCGGACACACGACAAGTAACCTTCTCTCTCTCTCCCCCCCCTCTCTCTCTCTACCATTTCATTAATTTCTCTTGTTTCTTGATTGTCTTTATTTTTTGTCAATTTTCTGCAGATCTTTGGTTCTAATCTGAAATCAGGAAAAGTTCAGCCGACCCAATTGAGATTGTTAACTACTTCCGAGTAAGTTTCTGAATGTGTCACCTTTCTGCTCATATTATTCTTCTGTTTGCTGCATATATGTCCCACGTTTCTTAGTTTTCTTTTTTCTTTTTTTTTAATGTTCTGCTTTGCATTCTCTTTCCAATTATGCCCATTTGAGCTCCAAAATTTTCTTAGTTTGATTGATTTCTGAAAGGAAATGTTAATGCCGAAATAGGATTTAGTTTGAGTATTCTATATTTGTGTCAATATTACCCTTAAGGCACAAACGACATTGAAATTCTTACGGTTCCCATGAAATTGTTGACTTTTGAAATTTATGTGAGAAAAAGAAATCCAGAATCCGGGCTAAATATACTGGTTCTAATGAGGGAGATTTGAATTTTGGTTTGGACGTTATTAACCATTGTTTTGGTTTAATCAGTTGTTCATACCCCGGCTGCAAATTCATGGACTGCTCCGTTGTTAGTGACATCAATTTGATGGGTTTACTTAGATCTTTGCTTGCCATCACAATGATTCTAATTTTCTTTATTTGATGGTTTGTATATAGGAGATGTTTACAATATAAGATTACGACTACATGCAACCTTCGGATTGGTCCTAAGAGATAAGAATGTCTCTATTGTTTTTTAAATCGCCATCCGAGTAACCTGTTGAACTTTTCAAAATCCTGAAGATAATTGGTTGGTGCTGAAATGCTTTCCTTTCGGCATGTTTGCAGCAATTGTCCAGGTTTGACTGTAAAGGCTTCAAGAGAGTCCTTAGGGATCACTGAACAACATAAAACCAACAAACTGGAGAGAGTAGCTGAAACGGATGATCGGAGCGAATTGTTTGAGGATATGAAACAACGGTTTGTTGACTTCAAAAAGCATAAATACATGTAAGTGGCCAAGGCTCAGGCGAGAAGGTTGTTTAGTTTAAATTAATTCTATTTCCTAATTTGGCTTTCATTATGAATAGGGAAAACTTGGAACATTATCAAAATCTTGCAAAGTGTCAAGCGCCAAAGGTTGTATAGTATACGTGTAGTTTCCCTTTCATTTCCCTTTTCAAATTTAGTTATTAACACTCGATGTTCATAAGTATTCTTAATACTCGGACATGTCATTCATTTGCTGTTGCCTCAATATGGTGTTGAGTGTCATGGAGAAGATATGCATGTCTACTGATGTTTCTGGAACAGTTCATGGTCATCTCTTGTGCAGATTCTAGGGTATGCCCCTCGACCATTCTGGGATTTCAACCGGGAGAAGCATTTGTAGTGCGCAACATTGCGAATTTGGTGCCCCCCTTTGAGGTATACATTACAAATCACAGTTGAATTATTTTGCTGCATTTCTGATTGTGGAAGGTCACAAAAAAGTGAACACTCTCGAATCATATCAAATATTGTTATTCACTACCTTTGTTTTGTTATTTTTTTTTTCTGTTTTTGCAGAGTGGACCCTCAGAAACAAATGCTGCATTGGAATTTTCTGTGAATTTTCTGAAAGTAAGTATTCTGGGAATAAATTCTAAAAGAAAATCCCATTTGTTTCCTTGCTAGTCTAATTCATTACAATCATATCCCTATTTAAGTAATGGCTTTAAAGCTATTGGTTACGAATCCTTGCTTATAGAGTGACGATTGGGAGGTACCAACTGTTGGTATTGTGAAAAATTGAATCTCCCAGATTGAGTGCGATTTTTAATAGAAAATGGAAGCAAGAACAGCTAGACAAAAATAAATCCTTAACCATAGTTGTATTGTAGATCGAAAACATATTGGTCGTTGGTCACAGCTGCTGTGGAGGCATTCGTGCTCTTATGGGCATGGATGATGAAGTTGATAAAAGGTTCAGTAAATTTCTTCTTCTGTACTTATCATGTTGTTGCAAGTGGTCTTTGTGTGCGGTTGCCTTTTATTCATTTGTCCAAGAACAGTCAAGCTATAGTTTTCACTTTACCAAAATTCTTTTATGCAGTAGCTTTATCCAAAATTGGGTTGTTGTTGGGAAGGATGCAAGGTCGTGGACAAAAGCTGCTGCCTCCAAACTCAGTTTTGACCAGCAGTGCAAACATTGTGAGAAGGTAACATTTTTCTTTACTTATTATTTCCTTTTTTTTTTATTGTTTTTTAAGTAACGTAATTCTATCCCAAGGAAGTTCTTGGTCTATGCAATTATTCCCGTTTGTATTTTTCTTCATTTCATTGGACCAAGCTAAATGAAAGTCGATTTCGTATTGTTGAAACTTGGATCAGCATTCTGTTTTATTGGTATATTGAATCTCCTGATCCATTTATTTTGGTCATTGTTGACCTCATATCTATACGGGAATTTAACCAAATTCTTTTGAGGTTCATGATTAGATTCTCCTATTGTGGCATACATTTGGGTTGCAACTAATGTAGGCTGTGTTATATTATAAAAGGATGCTCCAGATTCATAAAAACTGTTTCCCATATTGAATGATATCATTGTGCAGGAATCAATCAACCGTTCATTGTTGAACCTGCTCACGTACCCATGGATAGAAGAAAAAGTGAAGAAAGGTGTTCTTGCTGTTCATGGTGGTTATTATGACTTTGTTGAATGTACATTTGAGAAATGGACGCTCGATTATAAGGAAGACAACTTGAAGGAGAAACATGGCAGAATTTCAGTTAAAAATCATTTGTTTTGGTCTTGATTTCATCTGTGGCCTTGTATGATCTAATTCATCAAATAAATTATTTAAAAAATATGTTGTTTGTATGGTGATTAAATTAAAACGATTCGAAAAATAATGTAAAATGATTTGGTTTGTATTAAAATATAATAAATAAAATAATGTTTATAATTTGTTGTGTTTTCATCTGACAGAGTTGATGCTTTTGTTTTCAAGTTGATGCTCTCTTTTCTTTTCTTTTGGGACAAGAAACTGTCAAACTCTTTTGATCAGTAGTTTTATTAGAAGGTACCTGAGAAACACTGAATGAGGGGTTTTAAGCCTTTTATCATCCTGGTGTCGAGCTATTATATATTTAACAGGAAGTTAAGAACACCAAGAAGAATCATTTCAAGTTGGTCTAGGTGGCCAGGTCAATTTAACACTTGCTGTTCTTCAGTGCAGACTCCAGCATTTCTCAGATTCTTAAAGCTCAGGTAATTCTTGCACTTGAAAATTCTTCACCCTTTCTATTTTTCTTCATTCCATTTCTATAAGCTATATTCAAAGTAATTACTGTTTCCATTGCTTTATGCGAGGAGAGAGAGAGAGAGAGAGAGAGAGATTAAATTGATCAAGGTTTTGGTTTGTAGATTGAGGAAAGCAAGAGAGAAAGAGAAAAACTTGTGCAAGCCCTAAAGTCTAAAGCTTTCATATGATATGAGAAAATGAGATCATGAATGGAAAGTCATTAGAGTTGGTTTAACAGTTAAGGATAGGGTTTCCAATCATGACCGTTGCAAAAGTTGGAAGCCAAGTAGCTCTCCGTTGCCTTACTATTTCACGTAATCTCTGTTCATAAACTTCATATATGAAGCCCACTTAGTATCTTCAAGTCATTTTATGCGCACACACAACGGAAAAAAAGAAGATAGGGACGGGCTCTTGTGGTTATAGTTGAGAAAAAGGGCACAAGAAAAGGACCTTTGTTTTCGATTCAGCAGACCTTTCGAGAATATTTACTTTCTAGTAAGTTTATGCCCACAGATTCGTTTTCTGTTTGCTTCTGATGTGTTGTCTTAAGTAATCTGTTTTGGAGTTTAATTTCGATGGCACATAATTCATGGTATGGTATGCCTTCAGTTTGCTTTAGGTACTGTTTGACCTGCATTTTCATTCATAGCATCAGCATGCTAAAACGTGTAATAGGAGTGCCTTGAACTTGGTTTTGGTGACTCTTAGAGATCGAATTAACTGAGGTGACACCTTTGATAAAACGGTAATCCTGTACATTCCATTTAAAAATTTGAATGAAATATTGAGTTGAGTTATTCCATATCAATTTACAAAATGAGGGAGAAAAAGAATATTGCAGGTGACCGTTAGACAAAAAGTTACACTCGTACACAGAAATACGAATAAATTAAGAATAAAAATCCCAACAGAACTCACAAGCAGTAACAATAAATTCTATTTTATATAATAGTAATACTCAGATGTAGCAGTACGAGATCGAGAGAAACAAAGAACAGGACATGAAGATTGCAACGATACATATGTATGCATAAAACCTGTGATACATGCAAAGTGAAACAAATTAGTTAAAAACTTAAAACCAATTTTTAGATTCAAGGAAGGGTGGTTTTGTGAGTCGGGGTTTGTGAAGGGAGGGGTGTGTCCTTGGGGAGGGTTGGGATGGAGGAAAATGTGGGCTCAGGTAGCTCGGCTGGGAGATGGAGAAGAGATGGAATTTCAGGAAACTTTGACAATTCCGGCTTTGGCAGAGTTGGGAAATTGGGTGGTGCTGGCAGCTCAGGCTTTGGTAAAGTAGGGAAACTGGGAAGTGGTGGCAATTTGGGCTTTTGAAGTGGAGGTTCCTTGGGCAAGGCTGGGATATGGGGTATTTCAGCCAACTTGAGCCCTTCTGGCTTTGGAAAAGTGGGGGCACGGGGTACTGGTGGAAGCTCGGGCTTTGGCAACTCGGGTAGCTCAGGCTTTGGCACCTGTGGCAGCTCAGGCTTGCAAATGTGGCAGCTCAGGCTTAGTACTTGTACTAGTGGTACATGGTGACACAATGGCAGCAACTGTATGCAGAGTCATCATTACTCCTCTACCGGCAAATACAAGTGTAAATTCTCGAGTCATTTATTTATACTGTACATGAACGTTGTCAAAATTGTTGTGTGAGTGCTGAGTTGGTTCTAGCTATGTGTGAGTGATGTATTGGTCGAAGCTATGTGTCAATGATGTGTTGAGTCGTAGCTATGCGTAAGTGATGTGCAGGGCTTAACTATGTGTTAGCCTTGTGTTGGCCGCAGCTAGGTTAGTGTTGTATTAGGTGCAATTAGGTGCAATTAGGTGTCTATGTTTGGGGTGTTGTGTTGCACATCTACGCGTGGTACGCATGAGTGTTGTCTTTATTGGTGTACTTAATATACTTGTGTTTGGGCCTGAAATCTTAGATTTGGATCGAGACAGTTAGCTCAGGAAGAAGCCCACAAGTTTCGGTACGATGGTGAAATATTCGGCCCAATAATAAGGTGTTGATGACTCGATCGTGTCCCAGAGTTCTCAATTCAGAGATTAGGAATGGATTATGATTTGGCCAAGTCCTGGTTAAAGTGGGTTTCTGTGAAGATCAGGGCGGGTTTTGATAAGATTTGGATGGAATTGTTTAGGTATACAAATTATGACCGGATAAAATTGAATTAACTACAGAAAGGGATTAGGTTCAGAGACCTAGTTCAGGTTAAAGAGGGCAAGACTATGATGATAGAGTTTCGACAGAAACAGGACTTGTCAGGATAATTTTAAGTGCATTCAGATATTGCTGAGGAATTTAGAATTCTACAACTTGGTAGACTTGCACATCAAGTAAATTATCCCTATAAATACAAGAGGGTTTGCAATGTAGAGAGGACCTTCAACTCCACACACAGATCAACGCTCTACATGAATCCTCTCTCTGTTTGAGAAAAATTATACTAATTGTTCTACTAACTTTTAGCACCAACACAGTTTGGTTAGATACATTTGGGTTGACGGTCGACTATTGCCTGATTAGATGAAGTTTTCGAGGCAACCAGCAAAGGTGGCATGGTCTTAGGTAGTGGCGGGGTTGTTGAATCAGTTCGGTTCAGGAATATCGACTGCTTGGTTAAGCGGCAAAATATATCAAGTTCAACTGGTTAGCTAACTTGAGTCTCTGCAAGTGAAGAGTCTTTGGTTCTCTCACTAAAAGAGGTCACTTCGTTAGCCTTCTTGGCGAAGTGGCGTGTTTTATGATTGGATACTCTCAAGTCACATTCAGAGTTCGGCATACTGACGGCCGAACACTCTCAAGGCACTCTTTTTCTTTGAGTATCTTTCTCCTTATAGTTGATATGAGTTTTGCAAACTTTTATTCTTACCAATATAATCGAGGTTGTCTTTAGGTTATAGAACCCAAGGCCTAGAGCATTCCATCCTCGTCCAAAGTCACTGGGTTAAGGAGTCAAAGGTGCATTTCACCTCATTCACCATATTCAAGACACTCTCCCAACTGAGTTTAGTAGTGAGTTGGCATGTCCGCATTAGCAATCAACTATCGAAGAACGTAGTTAGCTCCTTAGTTGTTCAGCATGCGCGCTACATAGGCTATGTAATTTTTTGAGCCAACAAATTGTGAAAATGATGCTTCTATTATTGGTAAAACTGAGATCAAATTGCATATCACATATACTTTATTGTTATAGTCACTCTCGTGAGTTTTGTAACTCATCAGGTTTTTTTCACTAATCTGGTATGCAGGGGCAGATCCATTTATGGATTCGGTTGGTTCTAGGACCACTCGCAAGTTCGAAGAAGCGCCTATGAGACCTCCAAGGATCATCAATTGGTTTAGGTAGGTGGTGGAAGAAAGAAGGCCACCATGGCTATGCAGATGTTGTGCAACATAAATTTTGAACTAAAAAGAAAGATCTAATTTCAGAAAAAGAGAAACATAGAGAAGATTGCTCAATTCCCACATGATCAACTCCTCAATTTTTATTTATTTATTTTTTAGGGTAAAGTACAAAAAACTATCTTAACTATTGATATCACGACACTTTCATAGCTCATCTTTTAAAATTGACAATGTCATACCTCATTTTACGCATTTGTGCCAATGTCATACCTTCCGTTAGCCTGACCGTTAATTTTTCAGTTAAATGCTGACGTGGCTTGATTCGGGACCCACTTTCTATTAAAAAATTAATAAAAAATTATTAAAAACTCAAAAAAAATTATTTAATATTTTTTAAATATTAAAATAATAAAGAAAAGTCAAAAAAAAAAAAAAAGGGGAAACTTGATATAACTCCAATTTTTTTAGCCAACAGTAGGAATAGTCCAATTTATTAAAATAAGTCCAATTCTTTAAATTTAATTATTTAATTATCAATCATTATCTCTTAAAGAAAAAACTTATTGTAAAAATCAAATTTCTTCCTAATTATCTCTTTGATTATTTCTTTTTATTTCTTTTTTTGTTATTTCTTGTTCTTCCTCTTGCTTTAACCCATTTATAGATTTTTTTCTTTTAATTTTTATAATCAACCTATATCACAGGTTAATTGTATTTATCTACCTATATGATATATTCTTTTTCATAGTCAACCTGTCACAAATTAATGTGTTTTGTTTGTAGGTATATTATGTTTTATTCTACCTTTTAGTTAGGTTTCATATGTGACAGTTCGTCCCTGATTTTAAGAATTTTTAAAGTTTTAATAAAGGATTTTACAAAAATGCCCTTTGAGGCACGCGCATTATTCGAGGTTAATCATTATGTCGTGCCATCTAAGATTTGTTTTCTTGACATATCCTCGTAATACTCGTCGCTACGGACGCGTGGGCGCAGACAGTTCGTTATTTGGAGTTATAACGAAAAAGATTTTAAAGTTTGAAGTTTGGGCATTTTATAAATTTTATTATTAAAATTTGGATGGCCCAGATTTAATGAAGAATTAAATGGATGACTTGGATGTAAGGAAAACAAAAATAAATAAATATAAGTGAAAGAAGGATTTTGTGTGTGTGTGTGCGTGAGAGGAAGAAACAGAGGAAGGAGATTGGGTAGAAATGCCAATCGGGAGAAGAGAGAAAAGACATCAAGAGGGATTCCGGAGACGACGTGACGACATGATTCCTATTTAGCCAAGGTGGAGACA